AGATATATAACAAAATTCAAAATTTCTTTAAAAAAAAAAAAAAAAGAGAATCGCCGCTTAATGCTTTCGGAGTATCGAGCGTACGGTGAGGCGGTGCTGACACGTGGAAATTCCTGGCGTTGTGGGCATTCGCCACGTGTCTCCTTCATCCACGTGTCCACCTTCTTCTACTGAATTTAACCGCAATACTTCCGTCTCCGAAATCAGTGGAGAACAGTAATGGATTTGAAGGAAGAGAAAGGAGGAGAAGACGAGAAGGCACTTCCTGTGGTGTCGCTGAATCATGTGTCTCGGCTCTGCCGGAACGTGAAGGACTCGATAGATTTCTACACGAAGGTTCTCGGATTCGTCGTCGTGGAGAGGCCTCAAACTTTTGATTTCGATGGCGCTTGGCTATTCAACTATGGCGTCGGGATTCACTTGATCCAGTCCAAAGACGAAAACAGACTGCCTCCTAAAGATAATCAAGACTTGGATCCTATGGACAATCACATTTCCTTCCAGGTATTACTCGTAATTTTGACTTGTATTGCAAATATATGTATATATAATGAAGATTGAAGAAAATCGCAGAGCGAGGATTTGAACGCGATTGAGGAGAGATTGAAGGATTTGAATGTGAAGTACGAGAAGAGGAGAGTGGAAGATGAAAACGGAGTAAAAATAGATCAATTGTTTTTCAAAGACCCAGATGGCCACATGGTGGAAATTTGCAACTGTGAGAATCTCAAGCTTGTCCCGGCGAGTTCGCTCGGCAAAATCAAACTCCCTATTGATCGCCATACTCCTCCCATTGATGTATAGGTATATTTATATTTGTACCATTATGGAAGTGCTCCAAGCGTTACAGTCATGAGGATTTTAAATATAATGAGTAATTCAAAAGGAAAATTTGCAGTTGATGATAAAACTCACATTTAGAAGACCCATTGTAATTCAGTTGATGAAGCACATGCATCTCTCTCACACACACACCCCAAACTAACACAGCTCGCTTAATAACCTTTTAGTTGGTGCAATAATTGAACCTTATATTCACATATTCATAAACTTGAAATTGTTCATAGTTTTAACCAAGACGCCTTACCTATTGGGTGGGATGGAGACGCAGCCTTGTATATATATATATATATATATGACTTCAAGATGGTTGTTGTCGTTCGCTCGTGATGAAGACACTAGACATGTCATTGTTCGTCGGAGAAAATAGCCATCAAAAGGGGAGTGTGTGACTCAACAAGGGACAAATAAACCACTAGGAAATTTGAGCGTTCTTTGGAGAAAGATGGGAACCTCGGGGAAATTGGGAAAACTAAAGATTAAAAAGGCCGGTCCAAATTATTCCTTTCTCATTTTTATGTAATTTGACTTCCTTTTTTTAAAAAAAAAAAAATTGCTATGGCGAATGTTACGTCATCACGTGGATAATAATTCAATTAGAATACAAGATGTGTTTAAATTAAATTCGTGTAGATTTGTTGTTATAAATTTTGGGGAAAGGGTTTATTAACCTTTGGTTGAATTTTTAAAGGGTTGGGGCAAAAAATTGAAAAAAAAAAAAAAAAAAAAAAAAACATATGGGGATCAATTTAGTGTTTTAACCATTTATCTTTTGAATTATATAATTGTTATTTATTCATATGAGAAAAAAATGCATCTAAATTTATTTCTTTAAGTTTGTTAAATTTTAATATTTATTAATATCAAAAAATGTGTACACAAATTTATTACCAAATAATATATATTTTATTATAATATTTAATTATAAAATGTTTGGTAATATTTAAATAGAATCTCGTTGTAATAATAATTTTTAATTTATGTGTCTCTTAATTATTTTTGGATGATAATATCACTTATATATTTTATTTATATATGATGACTTTTAATTGTAAGATCGATTTACGTATTATCAATTGCATAAATAGCTAATTTGCTTATATATTATTTGGTTTTGGTCAAATTGACTTCTATTAGTATTTTTCTATTCAAATTGAACCTAAACTTTTAATGTCATTCAAGTAATCTCTTTCAATAACTGTTGTTAAATATTATTTTTATCAATAGTATATAGGTCACCTAATTCAGTTTTTGCTTAATAGATGCCCATGTGGCCGCTTTATATTTTGGCATGTGACCACCCATTGGCATCTATTACACTAATTTTTATTAAACTTTTTAATTATGATAATATATTAAACACTATAAACTATATGATTATACCCTTTTTCAGTTGACCTCTTCTCATCCAATCCTCCTTTGTTGCATGCCTCCTCCATTGTCATCAATTTCTATACTGAGTCCTCATCTAACATATTCCTCATTTTCTTTTTTCTAATAATAACAAATTCGTCTCTTACGAAGCCAAGTGCAATGTGTTTGATCATCTATTCAATCCTCACCCCAATACAACCAGTACTAAAACCACTACCATCAGACATGTGATGGTCAGCCATGGACAGTGCATCGCCACCACCCTTGTATAGTTTTAGTAATGATATGATTTTTGTATTTTTAGTGCCTTATAATAAATACAAAAAACCTAAAACTTGAAATAATATAATAGTTAAAAAATAAAGAAGAGCTTAATCTATATTTAATCATTAAAAGCTTTGACGTTTACCTAATATTTGATGTTGATTAAACTATAGGAAGTGGAATAGATCTTGTGATGTCTTCATCTTCCTCTTATTCCTTATCGATTCAGGTAACGAGTAGGTGAGATTGTGAGATTAAGTGTTAAGGTTCCCGTATTGAATTTAGGGTTTTGTGTATGAATTAAAGAGGGACCAACATACCATTGGGGAATGATATAGAACATCCCAAGTATAATGCTATTTTGTAAGGTTTTTAGGTTTTTTTGTTAAGATGTCCTCCTTCTTCTATAGTGTTTGTGTTCACAGTGTTTGAGGAGAAAAGTGAGAAAAAATAAGAGAGAATTTAGGAGAAAGAAACTATTTTTTGGTCTTTCGTCGTAGAAAGAGAGAATTTACATATATATATATATATATTATATTTGGCTTAATAATTTCAATAATATTATATGTAACGTTTTCTATTTACCTCAAGTATAATATGCAGTAAACAATAAATAACCAATAAATTGAATAATTAAGAAAAAATGTATATAGTTTTTTTTAAAAAAAATATAATTTGCATAATGAAATAAGAAAATGAAAATTGAATGTTTCGTACCACATGTTAAAACAATGATAACTTTCATGTATCTAATAATATTTAACAAACAAAAGATTTATTTTTATTTTAATAGTTGTTCTTAAGCATTGTTGTTGAACATTAATCATCACCATTACACTTCAAGCACTTCATCTATATTATATTGTGAAAATAAAAAAGTTATTCATAAAGAATCTATAACGAGCATATTGCAATATAATATTTCATGTCTTCAACTAACAATAAGTAGAATGAAGTAGTAAGCATAGAAAAAAGAAACTACAACATCTTATTTTCATTCCATCATCGTCAATAACAATTGTTTATTCATCTTTAAACATTCAGTCAATTTATAAATTTCAGTAGAAATAATTAAAGAGAAACAAATTAGAAGAGAAGGAGAAAGATCTCACTTAAGCTGATTTCATCTGGTTCCCTTCAATCCGTTATTTCTCATTCTCCAAATCAGAATCCCTTTTCCTCAAATTTCTTCCCAATGTTTTCTCATTGGTTCTCTCTATCTTTACTTTATCTAATAGCTTACTTCTTCTAAAGTTAGTAATTTTTCACATCGTTATTCTTCCCACCCTCCCTGTCTATCTCTTTTCGGACTTTTCTCCCTTTCTTAACATTCAAATCTTAATATATTCCCAATTTAATTCAGTTAAAGAAAATAAAACAATTATGTATAAGAAAAAACTTGAATCTCCTCAATGTTTATTCCATCACCCGCAACGGTGATGGGAATGGAAAGGAGCATGTTAGTTGTGGAAGAGGAAAGGAGAAAGAAAGAGAGAGTCGACAGTTCTTTTTTTATTTTTAATTTTTAATTTTTATTATCTCAAAAAATAATTAAAAATAAAAATATAATTTATATTTTAAATATTACGTGATATTCTATATATAAATATATTAAATTAAAAATAATCATAATTTGTTATTACATACATGACAAATCAATTATGTCGTGAAGTAAATCATAAAATTTTTAAAAGTAATTTTAAGTATTGTAAAATGGTACAAAAAGATCATGTATACATACGTAGTATAACTATATATATATATATATATATATGAGATTTTAAATAAAAATATTTTTGTTTATTATTAAAACTCATTCTCATTTTTCATCCAAGTAAGAATAGATCGGAAGGAAACTCCTGCTCTCGACCATAATTAACCCCCGAAACTCCTACTCCTCCACCTGACACTCTTCACTTTTGAAAACCCCAACGCGTCCCTAAAGGAGTTCTTTTTCTCTTCGGTTTAGAGAGAGAGAGAGAGAGAGAGGAGTTTTTCTTCTTCCTCCGATGGCGTGCATAAAGGGGGTAAGCAGATCGGCATCGGTCGCACTCGCGCCGGACGCGCCGTACATGGCCGCGGGGACGATGGCCGGGGCTGTGGATCTGTCCTTTAGTTCATCTGCCAACCTCGAGATCTTCAAACTCGACTTTCAGTCAGACGATCTTGAACTCCCTATTGTCGGAGAGTCTCCGAGTTCAGAGCGTTTCAATCGCCTTGCCTGGGGAAGAAATGGATCCGGCTCCGACGATTTCTCCCTTGGCCTCATTGCTGGCGGCCTTGTCGATGGTAACATCGATATGTGGAACCCTCTCGCTCTGATCCGGTAATAATTCTTCCCTTTTTGTTTCGTTAATTATGTTATTTTGATTTTATTTGTGTTCGGTTGATGTAATTTGGATCGAACTGTGTTGAATTGTGCGTGAGATTTGAGTTTAGGAATGAAAATGTGAGGGGAATTATTGGATTTGGAAGTTTTATATGGTTGGTTGGCAGGCAGTGGACTGTGTTTGGGAACTGAGAACCGTGCTGTGATTTGATTCATTCGAATTGAAGAGGAGGCTGGACTTCTATATAATATTTTAGATGGTTTTTCGGTGGTACACATTTTAGTATGATCTGATTGGGTTTCATTTTCATTTCATTCACCTTTCTAGGAGTTTGGGTTTTGTTTAACGTTGAAAAGGATGGGGAAATGAAGAGGAAAAAGAATCATAGATTTGGATATATAATGGATAAATTGAGAGAAAAATGATAATTTTATACATTTGGGATGTATAACGATTACCTAGTGGAAATTGTATTTCAAAATCCCCGAAGCTGGGTGGTTTTTAAATAAAGAAATTTATGTTGGAACGTTGGGATAGTCTGTGTGAGGGAAGAAGGAAGTTTGAAACTTTTTTGGCCTAGTTTACTATCTTGTACTGGTTACTCAATTTTAAATTTGGGGAGGCTTAATTATTAGTTGGACAAAGAAGAATAGTGTTAGGATTTCTCATTTTTCTGAAAAATTATATACTTCATCTCTTACTGTTGTGGATATCTCTTCGATTCCTACATTTTTCTGCACGAATTTTTTTGTTTATATAGATATTCAGATCTGGATTTTTGGGGTACCATTTTGGTTAATTTTTGATACATCCGAATTCTTTTGGCAGAGATATCTTTGGTGATTGGTTATGCTGGAATTTTCTTAAAAATTATAACTTTGGTGCTTAGATGAGATCAAATTTTTTAAATATATTTATTGTTTTTTCAACAAATTATATTGTATTAGGTAAGTTCTTACTAAAAAATCTGTGTAGTGAGAGCTAGGAGGATGTAGCAATTGATTAAATGGGCATCTTTTTCATGTTTGTTCATGTGTTTTACATGCCATTGCATATACCTTAGTGCATGCAGTTTTTTTTTTGAGATAAAAGAGAAAGACACAAAGGTACCAAGGGAGAACCACCCGAAAACAAAGTAATTACAAGTCGATCATGATGTAACAAAATAATTATCTTAGTGCGTGAAGTTAAATGGTCCTCATGGAGATGTTGGCCGCCTTTGTAGGTTTGGTAGTTTGTGAACGCATGAAGGGTATGCTTCCAATTAAGAAAGAGAATATGATTTATTTTTGTTCTCTCAGTTCTTATGATTTTATACTGATCACTCAAGATAAATCTATATGATCTTCCCTTCATGTTCAGATATTGTTGTCCTTACTATATGTAAATAATTTGTATACAGGTTGGCATCCCCTTGGTGTTTTTTAATATAATTCATACTTATATTTTTTTTTGAAAGATATTGTTGTTCCTACTATTATTTTCTGAGTCGGTTTTGTAAGTTGATGTTTGTTTGATTTAGCATAAAGTTGGAAAATCTTCGTAGCATCATCTTTTAGGTGGTGTAACTTTTGATCTACGGTTTTGGAACTTTATATGCTTTCTGTGCACATGCGAAGTTATTCTCTTGGTGAAGGTCTAATTCAAGTCAGTTTGATGTTTTCAGTTCTCAAGCAAGTGAAAATGCTCTTGTTGGACACCTTTCGAGGCATAAAGGCCCTGTAAGTATCTCTACTGGCACTGCATAATATTGATTATTTCAGTGTGTCTTTCATCTCTTTATCATTTGGTAATTTCTTATGTATTTCCTTCCTCTTTCTCTATTTCAGGTTCGTGGTCTTGAATTTAATACCATAGCACCAAATTTACTTGCATCTGGGGCTGATGATGGTGAAATCTGCATTTGGGATTTGGCAAAACCTTCAGAACCTTCTCATTTTCCACCACTAAAGGTTCGTTCTCGATATAAAACTTCATGTTTCCATCTGTGGCTTACTGTTGCATATTGATATTGGAATTTTTTTAAAGCTCCAAGTAAGATCTTCATAGTGGCAAGATTTAACCTGTATTAATTTTTTCCTCGAGTCTCATAAAGTGAAGGAGCGTTAAGCTGTTGCACATTTAGGTTGAGGATGGTATACACACAATGATCAGCCTTTCTTCCATTGTAGTGCTCCATATGGCAAAAGTACTTGATTAGTGTTTGTTTAGGAGAAGTGAAGGCAATTTTTTTTTCCTTTGGTCTTTTGCTTTTCAGGAGTCTCTTTTTAGGTTTCTAGAGTTATTCTCCAGTTTAATGTATCTTGAATTGTGTCATACGAATCATGTGTATTTCTACCATGTAATGATTTCGTCTTTTGCTTTTGGGGAGTCTCTTTTTAGGTTTCTAGATTTATTCTCCAGTTTAATGTGTCTTCAATTGTGTCATATGTGTGGTGTATATTTCGCCATGTAACCATTTGTAATGGACTCTTAACTTTTTCTTTTTGAAATAAGTAACAGATTCTTAACATCCAGAATAAAACAAGATTTTTGCTAGTTGAATGAATTTAGTAGGTCTGTCTTCTGTTTCTGTATTTTTAAATGATTGAGTGTTAAAATATGAGATTTCTATGAATTGAGGGATGCCACATTGTGGATAGAATTTTAACTAATTTATTGGTAGAGTTGTTGTGATTGAACTTCAGAAGTTGTATCTAGATTGAAGTAGTAGCGTTATATAAACAAGAGGTGCCTTGTGAGCGTCTCTTACAACCTCCTGCAATCACCATCCAATTCAATAGAAGTTCATTGGGAACAACTTAACAGGCTTCACTGACTACAGCAGTTAGTCCATCTGGTTCAAAACATTAGGGAAGTTCTTTTGATTTATACTTGAAATGTATATGATCTCTCAACCATTTTTATCAGGTGTTTCATAGGTAAGATGCATTATCAGGTTTTGATGGAATAATCTTTATTAAGATATATAGAAAGTTTTTTAATTTTCAATTTTCCAGTCATAATATGTGATATATGTTGACATCCTTGGTAATGATGGGGTTTCTTTTATCTCTGAGTCTTTTAAGATGAATATTTCAATTGATTAAGGTTCGAGTCTTTTGAGTAGTTAAAGTTGTAAGGTCTTTCCCTTTTCCTTTTCCTTTTCCTTTTGAGTAGTCTTGGTATCTTTTTCTTGTTAACATGTTGGGTTCTCTCTCTCTCTCTCGCCTCTCGCTTTATATTTTTTCTTTTGTATTTTCTTAATTTCCAGCAATACTGAGTTGCTTTGCAGGGTAGTGGTTCTGCTTCCCAAGGTGAAATTTCTTTTCTCTCTTGGAATAGCAAGGTTCAGCATATATTGGCATCAACTTCCTATAATGGAACAACTGGTGAGAAAGAATGTTTTCTTTGTTTAATTTTTGACTGTTATTTTCAGTTTCCCTTAAGCAAGAGGTATTCAAACAATAGATCTTAATGTTGAAAATTGGTTCTTTCGTTAATCATCAGTGGTGTGGGACTTGAAGAAGCAAAAGCCAGTCATAAGGTAAGTGTCTTGCTCTTTCTTGTGCAGGTTTTGTGCTTGTTACTGCTTCATACTATCTGATATAAGATCTGGCAATTATATATACCATGAGATGATGTGGCTTTTTTTATCCATTGACAGTTTTGCAGATTCAGTCAGAAGGCGATGCTCTGTTTTGCAGTGGAATCCTGATGTTGCCACTCAACTAATTGTTGCATCAGATGAAGATAGTTCTCCTTCTCTAAGGGTAATGACATTTTGATGATGATGTTTCTAGGTGATTTGAACTTTGCTAATTGTATTTATTTATAATGGTATTTCAAATCAGCTTTGGGATATGAGGAATGTGATTTCCCCAGTTAAGGAGTTTGTCGGCCACACTAGAGGTATTAACATTGTTCGACTTATTTTTATTTCAGTGTGTTGGAATAATCCCTGTTCCATTTTTTCTCTCTTTCTCACTTCTCTCTCTTCATACCTATTCACTTCATGAGGTTTCTCCATTTTCAATTCTATATTTATTCTTTAAATGCTCTGTCAGAATTAGTTTTTACTTCTTGTGTTATTGCATGCTTGATTTTGCTCCTGTATGTGATGGATTATAGTCCGCATTCATATGGGTTAATAATGTGCTTGCAATGGAAGATATCAGTAGAGCCAGTACATATCTATCCAATTTCAAGTCTGTTTATCTTTATAATTTATGGTCCTCATTCATTTTGGTAATAATGTTTTTGAGATGGAAAGATTTCCCAGTTGAAAAGTTTTTGTGGCATTAATTTCTGCATTTACACGAGTCTATGGTGAGGGTGAAACTTTTGCGTCAGTGCTGAAAACCAAACTGAACTGATTTTTTAGGCAATTTGTATTAGGTTTAGTGTTTGGTTTTTAAGAAATCACTATCTTGTGTATCAAGTTTTGGTATTGAGATCAGAAAAGCAAAATTTTCCGCAGTTCACTTTGTAGAATACTTCCTCTGTTTCTCGTGTCAAACATGATCAGAATACCAATACTTTCGGCAGTTCAGTCCTAGAATATTCCCTCCGTTTCTTGTGTCAAACCAAAGGTAGCTACCTCCCCCTACTATCAGAATTGTGATTCTTCCTATCTTACCAGAAAAAAATCACTGGTTGTAATCTACCATCCCTCCAAGACTCACTTGACACTTGGTGGATACTGGGCAACGTTCTCCTTGCTCTTTCTAAATTGCAAACCATTTGTTACTGGGTGTGGTCGATTGTTGTCTTCTTCCTATCTTTAAATTGATGAAAATATTTAGAACCAAAATCAGCTGCTCTCATTTGGTTTTCACTTGCTACCAGGTAAACCAATTGGTGATTCTTTAGTGCTTCTATTATCTATTTATTTTTGACCCTTTTGGCACATAAAGTTATTCCACCAATTTAACATTATGCAGAGACTGAAGGGAGATTTTTAGTAACATTAGTTTCACTAGCCTTTTTTGTGAGATCCAATCCGGTTAGATAGGTTAATGTAATGCTACAAAAATATGGCTAATTATGTGCTCTCTTAAGAATTGAATTGGGTCAATTGGATTCTTTTTGATTGTCATGCACCTCAAATTCACTTGTTTTTATTTTTTTGACCCGGTTTGGCATTGTTTCACAATTTTTTGGATTTTTGGTAATTTGCTTTTGGTCAATAACTTGGTTTACTGGATTTACACCTTTTATTATGCAATTAGAGTATATTGCAGATGTTTTTATTCTATATATATCTTGTGCCCCCTCTATAGATCTTGGTTTATGAGTGTGTTCTGGCTCTGGCTCCTATTCTGCTTCTCCTCCTGTCTTTTGGTGCTTATTTTTTCTCTGTCAGTTACATGTTTTGATTTTTCTGGGGCTTGGATTGCCAAGCAAATGGCTCATGCTGCTTATATTTCTAATTGTTATCTTAATTGCATGTCTTGCACCAGGTGTGATTGCAATGTCATGGTGTCCCAATGACAGCTCTTATCTGCTTACCTGTGCCAAAGATAATCGGACAATATGCTGGGACACGGTTACTGGAGAGGTAAATGAACATTGACATTTCTATAAGCTAATTTTGTAGTAATATCCCCATCTCATATCTGACGTCCACTCACTTGTATAAAGCAGTGTTGTAATTGGTGTATCTGTTCAAACTATCCTTCCATGAACTGACACTGCTTTATTTTTAATTTGCTGCAGATTGTTTGTGAATTACCAGCTGGTACGAACTGGAATTTTGATGTGCACTGGTACTCAAAGATACCTGGGGTCATATCAGCATCTTCATTTGATGGGAAAATTGGCATTTACAACATTGAGGTACTCTGTTTTGTATGAATTTCTTTTCTTAAGTTCATTATGGTATCTATAATTTCCCGTAGAAATAATGGAGAAAGTCCAGCTAGGAAAATAAAGGGAACCTTTCGAGTGAAGGAAGTAGGTGAATGCATTATCATTTTCTCACGAAGATCAGCTAGTTTCGTTGTTTTTCTTTAGTTTTTAAACATGGGCAATGTTCCAAGATAAAGATCAAAGAGTGTTGAAAGATGGATATAACGCTTTCCCATACCACCTGTGCATTGTTGATTTTTATACCTTTACGACAATATATTTCCTGATCTTCTATCTTGGCATTTATGTGGACAGTTTCTAGTGATAAGCAAGCCCTAGTTTGGCTAGAAGCTAAAGCAAAAAAATATTATACCCATTGCAAGTAGTTTGTTATGTCATATTTTGGAGGTAGAAATGATCAGAATGTTGACAAAGAAAAATATTTTGTTAATGAGTTTTCATGTTTATTCTTTTTCAGGGTTGCAGCAGGTATGGTGTTGGGGAGAACTATTCTAATGCAGGTAATAGTCCTTAATAACATTCATCTTGTATAGTGATGATGGGGTTCACTCTCAGTCTGGTGGACTTTAGTTTGCTTGTGGTTCAATATTTGATGCTTTAAAGTAAAGCTTTTCCTATGCTGTGGTTGTATGGGCCAGATGAACTGAAATAAGAGTGTGGATAACAGCAAACTGTTATTTATTCGAGGACTATCATTCCTTAATCTCTGTGTCCATGCTGGTTATTTACCTGTGGATAATGTTGTCATCCTTTAGATTGAGCCCCCTGAGGGGGTAGGCTAACAGAATTGGGTCATGGTTTGCCAAAAATTTCTCGAACTTATGTTTTTTTGGTTAGTCTTTAGATTTTCTGGTATCCTATTTTGCATGTGTTCTCTCTTTCTCTCTCTCTCTCTCTCTCTCTCTCTCTCTCCCTCCCTCTCTCTCTGTATTCTCAAATAGTGAAGGATAATTTGGAGGAGTTCTCCATACATGCAATCTTTTCTGTGCAGCACCTCTCAGAGCCCCAAAATGGTATAAGCGTACAGTTGGTGCTTCTTTTGGCTTTGGAGGGAAGCTTGTTTCCTTTCAGCCCAGGTCATCTGGAGCAGGTGCTTCTGGTGGTGCTTCAGAGGTAAGTGTATTGTTGTTGTTGTTATTACTAATATTACTACTACTGTTCTTTATTATTATTA